TTGGCGCCGTCGGCGAGAAGAGCGCGGACCGCGTCGAGGTCGCTGGCCTCGGTGGCGAGTAGGAGAGCGGGCACGGGCAGTGCCGGGACGACTTCGTCCAGAATTTGCATACTGCCAACCGTCTCTGTAGTCTCGATCGTGTCCTTGGCCGTCGTTGTCGCCGTCGTCTTGCTTGTCGGAGCACGTGCGGGTGCGTCGACATGCGTCATTGGCTCCACCGATGAACATTGAGCGTGACTGAGCGCATGATGCACCCGGTGGACTTCGTCCAACGTCGGTCGCTGGATCGGAAACGGTACGTACCGGCAGCGCTTGTCGTCTACGTCATACGCATGAGGTCCCATGCTACCATCACCGTATATGTACGCGGTGTCAGGCCCGTCTTGTTGAAGAAGACCTTGCGGTTGCGCTTGGCACAGCCGAGGAAAATGCGTTCGCAGGCGTCGAGGTCACGCTTCCAGTCGCACAGTCGCGTCGAGATCTCTTCTTGGAGGCGGCGCTCGTTGTAGAGGCGGAGGATCGCACCTTGTGTCGACGCGCACCCGCCGTGAGCCGACTGGCTACCGCCTTGCTTGCGCCGCACCGTGTACCGCTGCAAGGTCTTGGACACGACGAGCGCGTCACACTGGAAGACGGCACCGGCAAACCGCCCGGCGCGGAAGAGCAGCACAGCCCAGTGATAGCGCATGCCCATCAGCATCGATGGCGTCGCCAGAAACGGCGTCTTGTCTTTCCGGTCGTACGCGCTAAAGACAGTATTGTACATCGTCACGTGCGACGAACCGTTGGTAAAGGTTGTCGTGGGACAGCGACGAACGACCGCGTCATTGTCGTCGCTGCCGTCGCTGTCATCCGACGCCTCGCCGTTTGCCTCAAAGCTGGTGCCGGTGACCGACGCGCGTCCGCGCGCGCGGCGTCGGACATTGGCCGTGTGCCATGCCGTCTTGAAGTGGGCTTGCTGAGCTGCCACGTCATCAAACACGAGGCCGCAGGCTGCGCACGCTCGGCCCCGGACGCTCGGCTCCACGATGGCGCCGGGTGACAGCTTTGCATCGGCAGGCGCATCGATTTTGCCCAGAGGTTGCCATTCGAGACGGCGGAGGTCCCAGAGGGCGATCGTCGCGGGCTGCTGCTCGCGAGCTCTGGCCCGAGCGACCGTGGTCGGCGTCAAACCGCAGACCGCCATTCTGCCAGGTTGCTACTTGAACTCTGCGCTGTTCGAGTCGACCTCTTTCGCAGCTCGTCGGCTTGCGACGTCGCCGTACCAACCGAACGTGCGAGGAACATTCCATTGTCCGCGACGCAGCGTCCACCGACCGCATGACACTATTGTACACAATCGCACGCTGCTGATGACGCCGTGCGGCACCGTCGCGCAAAAAGGGGTAGATGAATACAAGAATATGACAAAAAAAGGTCGCGCACCAGGCAAATCTGGAACAGCTGAATCTGGGACGACAACCAAAACCTTTTCTGGTGACGCATCTGGTCACCCGTGCGTTGCTCCCCAAGCCAGACGCCGATGGACCGCTCATTGCGCCCAGCCTTCTGACCGTTGTCGCTCGAGGAATAGGGTTGCGACATTCGGTCTCGGGACTCGAGTGTGACTCGGCTTGTTGCTAGGACTGTCGATTCGAGACATGAGTATAAACTATATACGACGTTGTTAACTTCCAAACCGCTTCATGGCGGCCATCGCCATGAGCTCGCGCTTGTGCGCAGTCACACACGTTGTCGAGCAGTACTTGTACGTCAGCCGCAGAAACG